TCAACATGGAATGCCACTAAGAAACATGGACCATTTGACCCTTGCATGCTCTGAAAAGGCATTTTGATAACCAAAAAATGTGCTCATTGACTTGAAAACCTCCGGAATTGAATGACACCACAAACAAGGACCTTCTATGACCTTGAAAATGTAATATTGCATACCACAAAAATGGGTTTATTGTCCTTGAATGATCTCGAAAATGTAATTTCGGACAGCACATAAGATGCAGTCATTGGACCTGTATTGACATTGAATTGTATTTGACTACACAATGAGGGCCTTGATTTCGGATTGCGCTTGAAAATTGTTTTTTCACCACAATTGGCAGCGATTGCCTTGGGATGATCATAGGAAACTTGTTAATTTAACACCATTACGGGCCAATGGGCCTTTGTTATGCCCCTTAAAAATGTAATTAACATTAAATCAATTAAGACCTTGTAAATTGCATTTGAGCTTCAAAAAACAGTTTGCCTTTGTCACCGCGCCACGTAACACGCGACTTTCACTTTGACCTAATTCTATGTCACGCCCACGTGGCACGCGACATTGACCTCTGACCTTACATTTCAGTCACGTCCATCGTGGAGGCCACTTTCACCTTTACCTAATTTCCAAGGTCACCGCCCACGTGCCACTCAACTTTCACAATGACCTAATTCCCAAGGCCACCGCCACGTGACCTTGACCGACTTTCCGCTGTCGATACACGGTGGCGATTGACCTTGAACTGGTCCAGGATCGACCCTGTATCATGGGCTGGCGTGACCTGGGAAGGGCACATTGAGCGAATAAGCAAAAACGCCATCGCATGTCTATAGGCATGTAGACGAAAATTTGGGATACATGGGTCTTGAACCATCAGTAGTTATACAAGGCCGATACTGGATCAATTCAAGGTCGCTCGCGCCCTGGTAGTGACCTTGGAAAGTAGTTGATGGACACGTGGTGGCGACCTTAGAGATTATGTCAATGTGTAGGTCACGTGCCACTTGGGCGGTGACCTTACAGGGTGTACAAGGTCAATGGCCTTCATTTTGAGGTGTCAAATTACATGTTCGATGCCATCCAAGGTTTATGGCCTCAATTTTGTGGTGTTAAATTACATTTTCAATGTCATCTCAGGTGGATGACCAGAATTGTGGTGTCAAAATACATTTTCAATCTTCCAAGGTCAGTGGGCTGGATTTTTGTGTTGTCAAGGACACAATTTGAAAGATACTCAAGGTCGATGATCGCATTTTTATGTGATGTGGGATTACGTTTTCGAAGAATAAATGAGCCCATTTCTTGTGATGTAGGATTATATTTTCAAGGTCATAGATCTCATCTCTTGTGCAGTCTAATTACATTCTCGAGGTCATCCGAGGTCAATAAACCGATTATTTTCGGTGTCAAAGGTCATCTAATGGTCCAATTTTTATGTGGTACCTAATAACACTTTCAAGGTCATTCAAGGGCAATGAACCCCTTTTTGTTGTATTACTACTCACTACATTGTAGTGATAAGGCCCATAATACTGTACGGTGGACTTGCATGGTGGTCTACCAGGCGCATCAGGGCAATCTACAGGAGGTTCCTAGGTAAGGTTCAAAGACTAGCCCGCCTGGGAGTCACTGGAGCCATGAAAACCACGCCAACTTTGGCCATAGGGGCGCTTCTGGGACTAGAGCCGTTACACTTAGTTGTGGAGACAGAGGCTCCGAAGGCTTCCATTACGGCCAAAGGATTGAGACTAGTTGAAGGATCGAGGCAGGCTTGGATACGGGCGGACTTGGGAGGAAACTCTCACATCCGATCCTCTCCTCGCAAGAAAGAAGTGATCCGGGCTGCCTTACTAAGACAAAAGAGTTATACGGTCACTCTCTCGGACATGGGGCAGTAGCTCAACTCAGATTGGTCACTGGGAAATTTCGTTGGGCGACTGGGGAGCATCGTCGTCGAGGTGCACCGGTGCGGTTAAAAATTCGCCGTATCTATACGGTTCGGATTAGGAAGTCCGGACGCCGGTTCGTGGGGTTTCCATAATTGGGTCAACTTTTGGTGAGGATAAAAAATTCCTTTGGGGAAGATGCCGAAAAAAGCGAAAAATTCGGACATTTTGGAAAAAATTTCCTTTTGCGGTTTTTTGGAGATTGTGGGGGACGTACAGAAGCGTGTTCGTGCGGCGGTGAGATTCGGGGGATAACTCCAAGTTGGAAACTGCACGACCCGGTTTTTTTTTTCATTTTCCTACTTTGAGGCCTTCTACGGCCTAAACCGTTAAAGATAGATTAAAACGTAAAATTGCGCGGGTGAAATCTACGAGTCAAGGGGCCACAGGTCGCTCTAGGCCCCCCCCCCCCTTCCGGTGGGGGATGAGACTATTGGTATTGTCCTTGTGGAGCTCTTTCAAAACTCTCCTTCAACTTTGGTGAACAATGCTAACATGCACGAATCCCTTGATATTCTTGAAACTCTTTTGAAACCCTTGAAGCACTCTTGAATTTATTTAATGCGTATTTATGACCCTTTATGCAATCACTCGCTTCCTTTTCTTTGCGAACACGTCGGGCGACGGCTAATAAATTCAATGTCTGTTTAATATATATAATATAATATTAAACGCTTTTCTCTCACTGTGGAGGATTTAAATTGAATTTGATCAATACGTAAGTACGCCCATTTTTTTAACCACCGGTTATCTATGTACCTTCTAGGGTTTTGTCATTCGAAGTTTGACCCAATTTAATTTTCAACCGGTACCGTATTCGAATTATGGTTTTACCTCTTATTAATGGGAGGTAGGCTAAATTGTAAAAGGTAACCAAATCTTCCATACCACCAGACTCTCCCCGGTGTTACGTTCTCTAACAAGAGCGCTCAAACACTCATAATCAGTTTTTTTTATAAAAGTACAGACGAATCTTTCTATCTTGTGAAGTGTGCCAACACTAAATTTTTTTGGAGAAGAACGTAGTAGCGGGGGTTCTGGGGGTATTTAATCCCCCCTTTCTTTACACGTTATCATCCCCGAGCTAGTTTTATGATTCGAACGGCCTCTTTCAAGCAAATGACGTAACAGTGAGGGATCATGATCACGTAATTGGATTGTATCTTGGTTCAGCTCACCAAAAGTGTAACTCAAATTTTAAAGGCGTTAAAAAATAAAACGCACTTCTTCGGCCTCAATAGCAAATGTAACCTACCTGCAACCCTATAGTTCTGATGGTTACGGCGAGCACGTGCCAAGAATATTTGTATTAAGCTTGCAATACGAAAAACAAATATCGTTTAATCTAAATGGTAGTAGTATGCAGTGTCTATGATCTGTAGTGTCTTTAATACGCACTCTGCGTATCGATTAAGATGTCTGCACGCACGTTTAAAACGAGCAAATCTCTAATTTCAATATCTGGTGCTATCGCATCGCTTTCTCGTATAGGTTGGCTACATCAAGATATGCAAGGTATCAATACCTTCAAAAGTTCATTTTGCTTGCCTAAATTATGCATTGCTTATATAGGTCTTAGGTAAAGCTTCATACGTGCCTCGTACATGTGAGTAACGTCAAAATACAATTTTTTGCGTTGACTTCTAAGACACATTACCGTTTAATAGTGTTTATTTAGGACAAGTGAAACTAGGGTAAACCAAGCACTGTATGAAAAACCTCTTTGAAAGGAAATTGCATCTTGCAAAGCGCGAAACTACACAGCTTCTCCGGCGAAATTACCATTCCGGGTTTATAACATCGATTTGTACGTCAGTTACAATAGTCGTAATTGCCCATCCGACTGCAAGTGAGACTTTGTCGACATTTGACCCTTTCCCCGTCTCTCGCACTGACAAGGATTGAAAGGATTTTTGCTGCGAAACGCCTGCCAACAAAATAAAAGCCGGCTATCCGGGCCGAGATCGGTTCGTAAAGGTAAATCAAGACGAACGGCCTAAATTGTTTATGAGTTCCGAAATCTCTACGTAAACCCGCCCGAATCGCTCAAAAGCGCGCATTCCACATGCTAATTTCCTACTTGTAAAATAATCCCCTTCGAAATTATTTCGGTTTTTCGCTGCGCTTTCCGCTTTGAAAAGGTTCCCCGAAGAGAAGGCATTAACGTCACAATGTTGCGCTTTTAGTCGTATCGTAACGGCTCCTTGTAAATGGCGTTATCCTTAAAATGTTAATATGCAAAAAAGGCTGTACGGCATTTACTTTGCATATAAAACGCATCCTAACGGTTCTGCACGTCAATAAAATTTTATTTGGGGATATAGGACTAAACCTCTCCGAACATAAATTTAAACTTGGAGAGTATTTGAAACCGAGCGAAAGTTACATGAGACTGATTGAAGAAAGGGGGAAAGTACGCCCACTAACAGGTTGTTACCGGAAAAGTTTCTTTTATTCGTCCGTCGCGGAATTTTACTTCGTTTGATTGTGTTTTAATTAAATGTCGTAGCTGCTAACGTTTAATCAAGTACATTAATCCGAAGTGTATTAACTTTAATTTATTTCGTGCACCTTCCACTGCCATTTTCAGTCGAAAATGCTGTCCGGTATATTTAGACGGGATCATTCCGTACGGAGGCGCAATGACCCTTCCGTCTTTAGCTCCAAAGCTTGGATCTTCGTATGGCACCACGGATTAAATTCAATTTTGTAAAGATTCAGATAACCTGAGACTTTACTGCGACGAAACTAACCTCTACGGATTTACCATGATTTTGCTAGTAGGCCACCGAGCTGAACATTCAACAATTATCAAACAGCTTGCTACCCCTGCATTCCAATTTTGTGTCAAAGCTTTCTATTTAGCGTGCATTTGACGATCTAATTAACGCCGGCTGTGTTGCCACGAATCCGTTTGAGCACACCGAGCGCATTGATCGCGAAACAAAGCACGCCCGCATTTATCTACTACCTCTATTTGTCAATTGTATTGTACGTTTCGGTTTGGGCGAAAACGCGTAGTGCGTTCGTGATTCGGGTAGAAATCAAAAATATTAAGTGTTATGAAATTTTAATTAACCCCCGACGAGAAAATTTTATTTAGTTGTACTGCTAACAGAATATGGCGTAGCGGTCGTTTCCACCTGCAGGCGTTAGAAGCACGAAATCCGAAGGTTTGACATACACGTCGACTTTGTACTCCATTATTAATATCTCTTTCTGTTTTTGAAGTGTAACACGTTTACACTATTAAAGTTTAACACTGCCGACTTTCCCAATTCATAAAACACTCCCAAAGAGCCGTCAGAAATGACAATAGAAACAGGTATTTTCACTAGTCACCTGTCGCATACTGGATGAGGAATCCCTACTCAACGGCTTAGAAGAGATGTGTACATTATTGATGGAAAAAGAGACTTTATCTAAAACATACACAAACCACTCTACGCGTCTCGGAAAATCCATACCGGAAATTTTGCGTAAATATTAAAATGATATGCCGCACAGGTTTTTTTGTTGATGAATAAAACTTTGCTTTCAGTTCGCATTTGCATTAATCCTTGCGTCGGAGGAACAACTAAAAATTTGCTGCGCAGAAGTTAGTAGCGTCTAAGTAACTACTCGTCAAACTTGTTTTCGAGTACACAATTCTAAACCATTTTTGCTCCGTACATGTTAGTAACATCGAAGTAAATAGTGTGATAGTACATTGGTGCGAAGTTATAGGAAACTCAACATTTACGTAACAATAGGGTAAAAATGGAGTTCAATTTGGTCGTTGAATGAAATTCAGCGATTCCAGTCCCATATTGACCCACTATCGGAATACAAGGTAAAGTCTTCTCAATTAACATTCATTAATTGTATTGGAAATATAATGTTTGCGAGTATCCTTTATAATCATAATGTAAACGTTCTTATTATCTGATATGCGAGCTGCTAACGTAATGTCAGTCAGTGGAAATTACAATGTCGAAGATCAAGGTGGACCGTCTAACAGTTCAAGGCTCAAGAGTAGGACACATTGAAGGCTTAATCAAAGTTCGCAGTTTAAGATTCACAATCTACTCGATTCATCTCTTCCACGCTTGTTTGATTTGCTCTCGCCTACATTAATTTAAATATTTTGACGCTACTAACCTATACGAAGAAGTGAATAGAATTTCCTCTTCGTATAGGTTAGTAACGTCAAAGTAATTGGCGAAATAAGATCTTACGAACATTTAAAAGTTCTATAACAGTTCTCACGACCGAAGTTTTTACGAGGCCCTGAAGAGTATCTAGAGGTTGAGCCATTTAGAGGTTTCCGAAATGTTTAGACGAATTTGGAAGTTCTGTAATAACGTTACAGTGTATCCAAGGCTTTTTTAAGAGTGTTATAACAGTATAAACCTTTAGTTTATTGGAGCCTTGAAAACGAGGTGACCTTTAAGGATGTTGAAGACCCTTCTGGTTTGTTATAGAGCCTTAATTATAGGTGATCACCGGTTTTTAAAAGCTCAAAAGACCTTTGAAAGATTTAAGAGCCTTTATAATCTTTGAGAGTAAATAATTGTTTAACCAATCAAATTTCGAGCAGCTTTCAAGGTTTATTAAGGTTTATTGAAGATTTTTAATAATTCTTGGGACCTTGAAGAGCCTTTCGAACCTATTATGAGCCTTAAGGGGCTCTATGTCCATGTAATGGTCTTTAAACAATAATTTTTTAGAGCTCTCACGTATTTTAAGAACACCTTCATGGGTCTACAAGATCCTTCAAACTACTTCAAAGGTTCTAGAGGCCTTAAAAGCTTTTTAACAATCTTCATAGTCCCCAAGAACGTTTAAAAATCATCGATTCGCTTTAAATGCGAGAAAGGAAGATTTGCTTTGACAAAGCCATTTAGCCTTGAACATTCCTTTAATTCTTTCTTTTTTCTTTAATGGTCTTTAAAATCCCTTAAAGTTCACTACTTGCAAGAGTTTTCAAAGGCCTCAGAGTCACCAAGGGTCCTTCCTTAGGGTTCTGCCCTCACTTTAGAAGCCGAGCCTTTAGGATCATATTGAACTCAATTAAGAATCCCTAAGGGTCGAGCCTTTGGGACGTTCAGAAAGCCTTCAAAAGAACCTCAGTGCCTTTAACAGACACCTAGCCTTTAAGACCATTTTAGAGCTTTAGCCTATAAAGATCTTCGGCGGTGGTATCTTCAAGAAGCTTCAAACTCCTAAGGGAGGGGTCATCAGGAGCCTTTAAAAGAGGAACTCATTACCAACCTCCAAAGATATATAAATGATGCATAAGTGCATAAGAGCTATTGACAGTGTTTAAAAGCTGCCCCATTCAATAGTTTCAGATGCATTTAAGAACTTTTGAAGGTTTATAAAGATCTCCAATGATTTGAAAAGGTTAGGTTAGGTTACAGAGTGACCCGCATAATGCTTTTTAGAGGTGTCTCTGTATATCAAAGGTTTTTAAAGGCCTTATAACCTTATAAATCTTTAGTTTATTGGAGCCTTGAAAGCGAGGTGACCTTTAAGGATATTGAAGAACCTTTTGGTTTGCTATAGAGCGTTAATTATAGGTGATCACCGGTTTTTAAAAGCACAAAAGACCTTTGAAAGATTTAAGAGCCTTTATAATCTTTGAGAGTAAATAACTGTTTAACCAATCAAATTTCGAGCAGCTTTCAAGGTTTATTAAGGTTCATTGAAGATTTTTAATAATTCTTGGGACCTTGAAGAGCCTTTCAAACATATTATGAGCCTTAAGGGTCTCTACGTCCACATAAAGGTCTTTAAAAAACAATTTTTTAGAGCTTTCACTTGTTTTAAAAGCACCTTCATGGGTCTGCAAGAGCCTTCAAACTACTTCAAAGGTTCTAGAGGCATTTAAAGCTAAAGAGCTATTGAGAGTGTTTGAGTAGTTTCAGATGCATTTAAGGACATTTGAAAGTTTATAAAGATCTCCAATGATTTGAAAAGGTATACAATAGGGTAAAAATGGAGTTCAATTTGGTCGTTGAATGAAATTCAGCAATTTGAGTTAGAATGGTCCAATATTGACCCACTATCGGAATACAAGGTAAAGTCTTCTCAATTAATGTTAATTAATTGTATTAGAAATATAATGCTTGCGAGTATCCTTTATAATCATAATGTAAACGTTCTTATTATCTGATATGCGAGCTGCTAATGTTATTCAATTAGTGGAAATTACAATACCGAAGATCAAAGTTAACCGTCTAACGGCTCAAGGTTCAAGAGTAGGGCACATGGAAGGCTTAAATACGATTTCAAAGTTCGCAGTTTAAAATTCACAATCTACTCGATTCATTTCTTCTACACTTGTTTGATTTGCTCTCGCCTATTTTAATTTAAATATTTTGACGCTTCTAACCTATACGAAGAAGTGAATAAAATTTCCTCTTCGTATAGGTTAGTAACGTCAAAGTAATGGGAGAAATTAGACCTTAAGGGGCCACGAAGAACATTTAAAAGTTCTATAGCAGTGTTCACGACCGAAAATTTTACGAGGCTCTGGAGGATATCTAGAAGTTGGGCCTTTTAGAGGTTTCCGAAATATTTAGACGAATTTGGATCTTATGTGACTTAAGCGTCTGTAATAACGTTACAGTGTATCCAAGGTTTTTAAGGGCCTTATAACCTTATAAACCTTTAGAGCCTTTAAAACGAGGTGGCCTTTAAGGATATTGAAGAACCTTCTGGTTTGATATAGAGCCTTAATTATAAGTGATCACCGGTTTTTAAAAGCTCAAAAGTTTTAAGACCTTTGAAAGGTTTAAGAGCCTTTATAATGTTTGAAAGTAAATAATTCTTTAACGAATCAAATTTCGAGCATCTTACAAGCCTTTAACCCCTTTAAAAGTTTATTAAGGATCATTGAAGGTTTTTAATAATTCTTGGGAATATTTTAATATCTGACTTTGAAGAGCCTTTCAAACCTATTATGAACCTTAATGGTCTCTATGTCCATGTAAAGGTCTTTAAAAAATATTTTTTTAGAGCTCTCACGTGTTTTAAGAACACCTTCATGGGTCTACAAGAGCCTTCAAACTACTTCAAAGGTTCTAGAGGCATTGAACGCTTTTTAACAATTTTCATAGTCCCCAAGAACGTTTAAAAATCCTCGATTCGCTTTAGGTGCGAGAAAGGAACAGATGTGCTTTGACAAATCCATTTCGCCCTGAACATTTCTTTAATTCTTTCTTGTTTCTCTAGGGGTGTTTAAAATCTCTTAAAGTTCACTACTTGGACCTTCAGAAAGCCTTCAAAAGAACCTCAGAACCTTTCACAGAGCATTTAAAGATGTTCGGCGGTGGTATCTTCAAGAAACTTTAAATTCTTAAAAGAGGGGTCGTCAGGGGCTTTTAAAAGAGGAACTTATCACCAGCCTCCAAAGATTTATAAATGATCTAAGGCATATGTGCATAACAGTGTTTAAGAGCTGCCCCATTCAGTAGTTTCAGTTGCGTTTAAGGACTTTTGAAAGATTATGAAGATCTCCAATGATTTCAAAAGGTATACAATAGGGTAAAAATGGAATCCAATTTGGTCGTTGAATGAAATTCAGCGATTCCAGTAAGAATGGTCCAATATTGACCCACTATCGGAATACAAGGTAAAGTCTTCTCAATTAACGTTAATTAATTGTATTAAAAATATACGAAGAAGTGAATAGAATTTCTTCTTCGTATAGGTTAGTAACGTCAAAGTCTGTAATAACGTTCCAGTGTAACCAAAGTTTTTAAGGGCCTTATAACTTTATAAACCTTTTAAACGAGGTGACCTTTAAGGATACTGAAGAACCTTCCGGTTTGTTATAAAATCTTAATTATAGGTGATCACCGGTTTTTAAAAGCTCAAAAGATTTAGGACCTTTGAAAGGTTTAAGAGCCTTCATAATCTTTGAGAGTAAATAATTCTTTAACTAATCAAATGGCATTTCGAGCATCTGACAAACGTTTAACCGCTTTAAAGGGCTATTAAGGTACTTTGAAGATTTTTAATAATTTTTAGGAATATTTTAATATCTGACTTTCAAACTTATTATGAGCCTTAAGGGTCTCTATGTGCAGAAAAAGGTCTTTAAAAAGTAATTCTTATAGAGCTCACACGTGTTTTAAGAACAGTTTCATGGGTCTGCAAGAGCCTTCAAAAAATTAAAATCTCTTAAAGTTTATTACTTGCAAGAGTTTTCAAAGGCATCAGAGTCACCAAGGGTCCTTCTTTAAGGTTCTGTCCTCTCTTTAGAAGCCGAGCCTTTAGAATCATATTAAACTCAATTAAGACTTTTAGGAATCCCTAAGGGTCGAACCTTTGCGCTTTCAGAAAGCCTTCAAAAATACCTCAGAATCTTTAACAGACACGTAGCCTTTAAGAGCCTTTTAGAGCAATAGCCTTTAAAGATGTTCGGCGGGGGTATCTTCAAGAAGCTTTAAACTCCTAAATGAGAGGTCATCATGAGCTTTTAAAAGAGGAACTTATTACCAACCTCCAAAGATTTATAAATGATGCATAAGAGCATTTAAGAACTTTTACAAGCTTATAAAGATGTCCAATGATTTGAAAAGGTATACAAAATGGTAAAAATGGAGTCCAATTTGGTCGTTGAATGAAATTCAGCGATTCCACTTAGAATGGTCCAATAGTGACCCAGAATCGGA